TCGGGGACTCGGTCGAGGATGGCTCTTCGCCTGGCTCGGCTTTGGCATCAACACACGAAGTCATCCAAGGTCACCCCTGCCGTCTTCTCTACGAAGGAGGGGTGGTGTCGCCAATTCGGCTTTCCGGCGGCGCCGGCGGCTCCGGCGGTCCCCCCGACGGCAACCCCCCCTCCGGCGCCCCGGCGCAACGGCACCGCCCCCGACGACCTGACCTCTGGCGTAGCCTCCGATGCCTCCGCCACCGCCACCAGCTCCTCGACGGCCCTGGCCAGCGAGACCCCCAGCGGCGCCTCGTCCACCCGCCGTGCCAAGTGTAAGCGCAGCCGTCCCACCTCTCGTGCTTGAAGCGCGCGTCGCTCTGTTTTTGTGCATTGCCGCTTTTCTCTCTCTCTCTCTCTTTCTTCTCTTGTGCACCCTCTTCAGTTTACCTATTAACCACTGGGACTTCCAGATGGCGTGGCGATGCTCGGGCAGCTGTTCGCCGTATGCATTGCGGTCGTCTTTGCGAGGATTGCATTGGCGTAGCGTGATTTTGCCAGGCGGCTGGACTCCGCCGGGGCCGCGGGACAGCCTTGGCATATTTGTCTGTGAGACTCTGAACATTGGAGCCCTGTGGGCATGTTCTTGGAGCCAGGAGGATATATACAATAAAAGAGAGATTGACCTCCCACGATACGTTTCGCAATTTTCGGATAGCGCCTGCATGATAGTGTGCTGCATGATTTGAGGAGTGTTGTTGCGAGCAGTACTGATGGTAGGATGCTGGAAAGCTGGAGTTGGTCGGGGTCAAAGCTACTGTGTGTGAGACTGTGTAGGTTTGCGAAACATCCAAAACTCAAGGCTTGACTGATATACAGCTATGTAGGTATGTTGATGAAGATGGGGCTGCTCGGACAATTGATGACATGCCTTACTCGAGAGATGTACTGCCTGAAGTAAAGCCATGTTTTGTCCCAATATCCAAAGAAAAGAAAAACTTAGAGGACTCCAAGAATTCTACCGGATCTGGGGTTGGTTGCTTGTAGGTCAGTATGTGCCGAACTCCACTTCATGTGCGTGTAGAATCAAGAGTTTGGTAGTAGTCATGAGTGGCCTCTATGAAGGCGATCCGATTGTGATCCAGACGTGGTGATCGAAAGTCTGGCTGTTCCTGTTATAAGAAGCGGCTCTGCTGACGAACTGCACTTTGAAAGGTTCATAAGGAGAATATTCGCAATATGAGCAGAAAAAAGGTCGCCGAGCAGCTTGCAAGCCCAGAAATGAGACTTACACCAATCGAGAACCGAGGCCTTGCCCTCCTTCATCACATGGCTGCCCGCACATGCATGAGGGCTGCCGGCCTTGATGAAGTTCAGGTATGAATCGAGGTTAAAAAACAACCTTCAACATGCTCGCCCATGCGCAGCCGAATCCTTCCCACCTGCCATTGTAGACTCTACACATTGGCGGTGTGCTTTCCCTGCATATTGTGGCACCTTGCCTTGAACCCATCTCAAGATCTCGTCGCTCAAGGTGCCCCCAAAAGCTCGAATTACGTGATGTTTCGGGTTTAGAGGCATACTTCAGCGAGTTGGTCCATAAAGCCCTGACTATGCCATTCGGTATGCAAGGCTGTCCAGCAAAGCATCAAAAGGATCGTTTTCACGAGGTGTATTCTTGTATCAGGCCTTTAAAAAAAACGCCGATTTCACTTATGCTCTTGTGATGGTGGTGGTCAGATATTCCTTCATCGCGAAGTCTTACCATTGGCAGTCTTGGTCTTGCACCGAAGGATGCAGACCGAGTGGCTCACCGCACCTGGACGTGGCGGTGGTCGTTGCCACGTGCCATTTGGGGCCATCCATCGAATTCCCAAATTCGAGCTTCCAGCCCATCCAGGATCTGATTGTAGGGAGCCGAGCAAATCGGTGCGCTGAAACGTGAGGCTGAAGCTGGCGGGTCCATCAGGTGTACTTTACGTCAAACGAAAGTATGAGACACACCACCTAGGGCGCGCCTCCCTACCCTCCATGTCAATTCGTCTCAACAATCAAGATTGGGGCTGTAGACTGATCGCGTTCGTGTCAGGGATTATGGCCTGGCATCCGAAATTGCTCATCGTGTCGGACCTTGATGGCTCTTTCAGAGTCGGGCGGCAGGGATGATCGCCACCAACCACGGCCACAAACGACCAGGTGAGCATGTTCAGGGGTCGCCCAGCCAAAAAGCCGCCCTGCAGGCAGGATGCAGATCCCCGCGATACGCTGGAGCGAAAGGCAGCTGGACAGCTATCAATGCTCGGCATTGCGACACGAGAGCGAGGCGGCGGGTCAGCGTGATGAGCAGTGAGACAGGCACCACTCTTGCCCCCAAATAAGGATGGACCAACAATAATAACAGACAACGTGCTGGATCCTCGCTCGATCTTGCTTCAGATCAGGAATCTGGGGACTGCCAAGGAAAGACATGAGTAGAGCGAAAGACAACGACGGGGGCGGTCGGGGGCAACGAGACACAGGACGGGGAGGCGGAGCCAGAGAGGGAGATGTCGAGGGAGGCTGAGGCTTGGAGGAGGAAACTGACAGATCACGACATTCGAGTCACGCGGAGAGAGGCCAGGGAGGGGGAGGGGAAGGGTTTGGAGGCCCCCAAGTTGAGCAAGTTGGGGCCCATGCTCCTTCGTGCATGCATCCATTCATGCTCCCACCGCTGGCGCAACATGCGGGGTTTGCGACTTCAATGTTCGATAGGCACCTGTTCCCGACTGGAAAAGGAGGGGGCTCACATGCTCTCTTCGTCTCACCACTCTGACCAGGCCAGTGCAGTGTGTTTGGTCGTTAGGCTTCGTCGACGCCCGCAATACAAACTCCGAGTGACATCGACATCGGCAAGGGGGAGCATCGGATAGTGAGATGATTGAATGCGTGCGTGGGAGGGTGTGAGTGACGATGCATCTCTCTCTCGACTCTTGCCG